GCACACATCACCCATTTCCTGGCTCAATTTCATTGTCTACAAAATGGGATTTATAAGATGCTTTAAAAATCTCCAATCATCAAATCTGAGATGGGACAGCCTTATAGATGGCAGCATAGTATTTTAGACTGATTAAAAGCCCATGTTCTGGAATCCTGGCTCCTTCACTTTACCAACTCTATAACCTTGAACATGTTACTTAATCTCGTGGAACCTCAGTTTCCATATCTGTAAAGAGGAGAGAGTTAATAGTCCACGCCCCTTAGGGATTCAGTGAGATCCCACTTGGAAGGCACTTTGCCTGGCGCCCAGTACAAGTGAGTGTCCAACCAGCACTAGCTATTATTATCATCATCGAGGCTAAGCTGAAAGAGTCTGGGGGCTGTTCAACAGTGCTCAGGCAACACATCTAAATTAAAAACATTAATTGCCTGCCAGATAATAATCTAAAGACATTGTGAAGGGGTTACATATTATTTTAATCAGCAAATCATGAACGGGTTCAATTTCAAAGGTAGGAGGGAGACATGCTAGCAGATGTTTGAAAAAGTATTAGATTGTACCTAAGAAAAAAACTATTTAAATAACTGCTTAGTGAATAATCTGCAACTAGTTGCTTGGAGAGTTAATCAAGCATTCTTAGGCTTAAAGAGAAATCTTTTTATTTTCCATACAGATAAAAAGTATTCACTGTTAAATTTTTTAGATTTGAAATAAATAATTAAAGCTTACAAAAGTCATTAAAATTGCCCATTTTCACCTAGAAACAAGGGTTAATATTTGTTGTAAATTATTTCACTAGCTCTCACCTAGGATCTCTTATTACACTTTCCATATATCATAAATAATGTTTTTTGTACACATTTTTCTGTATATACCTCTTTTTCATTTAGGCATATATAACAAATGCCTTTCCATATCATTTAATATTCTTTGTCATCTTCTTAATGGCTACATGATTTTCTATTGATAAAATGTAATTTATTTAACCAAGCCTTTATTGTTGGTTATTTAGGTTTGGTCCCAAATGGTTGTCATGAATAGTCAGTCATGTCACTAATTCTTTAGATAAATTTCTTGAAGTGGGTTTGCTAGATCAATGAGAATATACTTTTTTTCCACAGTTGATTTTTAAATCTCATATTTTTAAATTGGTTTGTACATGTAGACACGTCCTCATATTAACTGGAATTTGGTGTCCCCACTGGTCTAATGTGTGTGTTTCTTCTGGGACAGACTGTCTTCCAAGCAGGTTCTACTGGTGCTACTTGGCAATGCTGCAAGTAGTAAATGACCAGCGGCTCTGAGCACAGTGTCCACCTGGGCCCCAGTAGACTAAACATGTCACATTTATAACCTTCTGGCTGTACCTCCCGTAGCTGGGGACAGCATATGCTTAAGGTATCCGAGCCACTGTGCCCAACTGAATATAATTATCTAAATGTCTGGGTATCTCGGTTTTCCAGGACATATTTAGTGTCACTGATTTGAGTAGACTGGTGTTCAAACTGTTTAGAAAATTTGATTATTGTTTTAAAAAGTGATTTAAAATAAAACCTTGTATGTGCTCTAAAGAATATCTCTAAGAGCATAGCCAGGCAATTGGGGACAAGATTTGCCTCTGGCTAGGGGAAGTGAAAGTAACAGGAGTGGGTGGGGGACTTGCTTTTCACTGTATTCTTTGGCACAATTTTAACTTCTTACATGTGCAATTTTACTTTCTTACCTTATTCAAAAGGGAAATTTTTAAACAAGAAAGATTAAGCCCAAAAGAAATAATGCATGCATGTAGATACTTTTCTCATGGTCAACTACTGGATTAGCAAAACATAAGCAATAGCAAAGAGACCGAATGATTTTACAAAAAGGGTATAGTCCAGTAATTAAGAATGCAAGCTGGCCGGGCACGGTGGCTCACGCCTGCAATCCCAACACTCTGGGAGGCCTAGGCAGGAGAATCGTTTGAGCTCAGGAGTTCAAGACCAGCCTGGGCAAGAGCAAGACCCCTCTCTACTAAAATTAGAAACAAATTAATTGGCCAACTAAAAATACATAGAAAAAATTAGCCAGGCATGGTGGCACATGCCTGTAGTCCCAGCTACTTGGTAGGCTGAGGCAGAAGGATTGCTTGAGCCCAGGAGTTTGAGGTTGCTGTAGACTGATGCCACAGCACTCTAGCTAGGGCAACAAAGTGACAAAGTGAGACTCTGTCTCAAAAAAAAAAAAAAAAAAAAAAAAAAATGCAAGCTGTAGGCTGGCACGGTGGCTCAACCCTATAATCCCAGCACTGAGAAGGCCAAGGCAGGAGGATCACTTGAGGCCAGGGGTTTGAGACCAGCCTGAGCAAGAGCGAGAACCCATCTCTACAAAAAATAGAAAAATCAGCCAGGCATGGTGGCACACGCCTGTAGTTCCAGCTACTTGGGAGGCAAAGGCAAGAGGATCACTTGAGCCCAGGAGTTTGAGGTTGCAGTGAGCTATGATGATGCCACTGCACTGTAGCCCAGACAGCAGAGTGAGATTTGTCCCAGTCTGGGTCCAGCTCTGTTACTTACCAGGTAAGTGATCTCAGACAATTACTAAACCTCTTTGTATAACGGTTTCCTTATCTATAAGATGGCACTAGTAATGGTAACCACTTCACAGCTAATTGTATTAAATGAGTAAATATATAAATGCCCTCAGAACAGTAATTACCACATACCACATATCATTGTATATTAGCTATTATTGTTGTTGCTATTATTCTTCCTTCAATTTGTGCAATACTATAATTCTAATAGCAAGGAGCCCTTCCTATGATTTATAGATTTTGAAGATTGAAAGAGCATATTTACTGTGAGTGTCTAACTGATCTCATGATGTTATTTACAACTATGCAAATAGTTAATGGGAGGCAGGAGGAGTTGGGAAACTTCCCTTCACTTACTAGCCATTCCAAATTTGAGAATTGCTACAAGTCTTTGTAAGAGTGGGTAACTCAAATCATTTCACGTCAATGTGGTCTATGACTAGATTTTTAAAGGTATTTTATTCATAGAGTTTGGTTCTACATTTTTTGTTTTGTGTGTATTTGATGTGATTTGGGGTTTGTTTGTTTTTTTTAGTATGGTGGGGCAGTGGTTAAACAAATGGCAAAACAAAAGTTGGAGTGCCCATTTAATTTGATCACCCCTTAAACAGTTATATTTTTAAGAAGAATGTGTTTGAAATCAGTATTTGCCTAAGGAAACCACTCACCAGATAAGAGGGCATTAAAGATTCCTGAAAACATTCTAATCCTATCTTCTGTGAATAATGTGCTCAGTCATTGGAAATGTATTGCTGGCAAAGCAGGTGATATGGTGACAGGGACAAGTAGACTCTGCTGTCACACAAGCCCAGATACATTCTTTTGCCCAACACTTTACTGTACATGATAAACAGAGTACTGTTATGCCTGTTGTTTGGGTGACCCCGGCTTCCCTATTGCGATGTGGCTCTTCCCAAGCTGCCAAATCATCAGAATGGGATCTGAGCTCCAGGACTTCAGGTTCAAGCCATCCCAAACTCAGGTCAACATCTTTAATTAGTGAGAGCACAGAAGACTTTTAACATTCATGAGGACTCTACTTGGAGGTCTTAGCAGATTCAGCACTGTGTCTCTCACACCCTAGGTGTTTCATAAGGATTTTTTTGGGTGAGCCCCCAAATTCATGATGTGGATATTTCATAGTATTTCCCCCACGAACACAGGACAGTCCCAAATGCCTGGGATATACAACCCCTTCAGGCATCGCAAGGCTGTGTTGTTTGGATCAGGGCCTCTCCCCCACTGTCTCTTTGCCACAGAGGATTCTCACACAGAGCAGAGGGTAAGACTTGTGTCCAAACAATAAAGTCTAGTTAGAAAACATTTTCACTGTATAAACACAGATTGTGTTAAGTCTAGGATTTTGATTCTCAGCACTGCCTATGATAACAGTTTTAAAAACAAAATGAAAGTTTGTTTTCTTTTACTATATTATTAAAAATCCAAGAGTAGGCTTGGAAAGAGTAGGCTCTGTGATGAAGGACCTGATAAAAAGTTTAAAACCAAAGGCAAATGTCTATCCTGCCCTCCTTGGGTGACCCGGGCAGCGTCCTATTTGCCTGGCCTTTGTGAACGTAAGCAATGAGCAAACACTGCTCTGTGCATCACAGTGTGCAGAGTTCCTCCTATGAAATACACATTTTCTTTGAACAGTGATATAACTGCACAACATAGCTTTAAAGAAAGAACATTTAGAATGTTTTATACTTTTGAGTAAAAATGGAGAGAATTATATTTAAGCCACCTAAATTATCATATAATGGAATTTATCAAGACACCAGATCAAGAGCAACATAGTGCAAAACAGTAAGACACTGGTGGGTGCACATTAGCCGATAGAATAATGTGATTTTCTTGTCTGTGGTCACAAACTAGATGGCATTGCATTGTTAAATCTTCCCCATACACAGGAAATAGCTAGTTTCCTAGAATGCAATCTGTCTCGATAATATTAAAGCTGATGGCCGTGGCCCTTTGGGGCTTGTAGACATTTTAATTGTAGTACATTTGCTTTGTGATTTTAATTGAGGTTATTTTATAAACATTTTTAGCATACCATCATTAATAGGATAAAGAAAGAAATCTATTTATGCCAACAAGGAAATAAATCTTCACTATCTCCTTGGTCTACTAGTTTACATTTAGAACATCACACCTTTTCTGAAAAGCTCTTGAAGACATGTACTCTCATTATTGTCCTGCAGTGATTTATTATTTACTCTGAAACACACGATATATCCATCTTGCTCACTAACTGGTGCTCTGTTCCAATTACCATTAATTAACTCAAAACATGTTACTTTGACACAAAGCATTATTTTGACAATCTTATGCTTTAAATTTCCAACTAATATTTACATATCCCTTTAGCCAATAATTTATTGAAAATCTATTCTGTGTTACTCAATGGTATAATGGTATTTTTTAGTTTCCCAAATACATCTGAAACTTCCAACATGAAAATTTATTCTCAAGGAGAATTTGCAAGAAGAGCCTCAGTGCCAGAGTGTAAAAATACAAGATCATGGACTTTCATACTGGCTATGCCAAGAATCCACAGTGTGAGACAAAAGTCGTTATACCCCTTGGTGCCTCTGTTACTTCACCAGCAAGAGAGTAGTAAGTGATTTTCCTGAAACAGCTAATAAAAATTGTAGTGAAGTAGCATGAATATTGAAAAGTGCATGATCATCATGATTAATAATAACATATAAAGCTCAAATATTGAAATGACTCTCTGGAATCATTCCAAATCAAGAAATAAAAGCTCTGGTCTTGCATAGTAATGAAGAGAAACAGTGTGAGGTACTCTTATTATACCAGTTTAAATGAACATAATGATGAATATCTTTAATTATGGACTGTATCCTGTAACATCACGTGAATGTGTGTGCACACATGTGTGTGGGGGGGCAGTGTCTAAAACTATATGTATTCCAGGCCTCTCAGCAATATATTGAAGGTTCAAATAGAACCATCCCCAAACCAGGCAGACATTTATAGGCCTGTACCTAACCTTGAAATGAATGTTCATTTTGATAGAGAATGTAAGCAGCGAGGAGTCCTCAGTTAAAGAAAGCTGGCTCTGATTTCATAGATCTCAAAATTTGTCATCTTCACGTTAGCCGACTGTCTGGCACCTAATGAGAAAAACAAATTGCTTTTACTTTCTACGTAAGACATTTGCATTTAGAATTTTTTTTAGCTCGTAAAAGGTTTATAAAGCACCCACTCAAATCATTCTACCTGCATTTTTCACCTAAAAGGGTCTTTATGAAACCTTATAGTAAATTTAATAACCCTCTTCAATAAACATGAGCTTTTATGAGCGTGACATACCTAAATAGACTCAATGGTCTGGGAATAAAATGTGCATCAGTAATATTTTCAGTGCTGTAATATTCCACATATTAAAAAATAAGCCACATACAGAGCAGACCACTGCATAAGGGAGAAAAAATCAGTCTCCAAGTTTAAGACAGCAACTGGTCAATGAACACCTGGGTGACTCATTAAGTTAAATGTGAAATGTCCTGATGTGTACAACATCGAGCTTCATAATATTCAAACATTAGCATCTGTCATTTTCTTCCATTTTCAGCAAATGCACATTATAGAAGCAACTTTAGAAATGGCCTTCAGTAATCATTCACACTGGGTTTTTCAGCAAAGGGACTTTCTCATGAAACAGTTTCCCATTTCGATCACCTTCGCAGGGACTTCTGCTTGGGTGAACCTGCTGACATGAGCCCTATCGCTCGGGGTAGCTCACAGCTTCTTTCACCGGTTAAGCTACCAAATTAGGCATGAGACTGGGACCCTCATTTCTCCTATGGTTGGTATGTATCAGTAAGGAAGACGGGAAAATGTTAGTGACTTTTTTATGGCTGCTATATAACAAGAGAATGAAATGTCAAAGCCCTGGAAACTCCATCTCTCTTAGTCCCATGAAAGCTCATCCAGCTACTGCTAGTGCTAAGACTTGCACCTCACCTTCAACTTTGCCTTGCTAGCAAGTGGCAATTTAAAATTCAGCTATGCAGAGCAGTCCAGGGAGTCAAAACATCCTGATTATGGATTCAGTACCTATCAAACACCTACATGTGCTAAGGGTTTGGGCAAGCATTCAGACTGGCCAACCCCTACTATCTTGAGTAGCTTACTTCCCACAATTAGACATACTCCTGAGAAGTTGCTTGCAAACTGCTTACTTGATAATTAATTCGTATTTATAACACACCAAGGGAGTAAGTTTTAAAACACAATAAACTCTTTTATGTAAGTTTTTAAAATTCTTAAAATTATATTGTTTTTAAATCAAGCTTTGCATATTTAAATGAGGACTTGCTTCAAGCAGAATAAATAGGGGAACATAGATTAATTAAACCCAAATGAAACCACAAATTCTCATTTCAGTCCTTATTTCTACCTTCTCTCATTCCTTCATATTTTTTTACCAGCATTTCTAGCCAGAGCCAAGTGGAGATGTCCAACAGTCAAAAGAGCTCTGTTTCCTCTGTCTTGGAGTTCGAACTTTATTTTTCAAATCATTAGATTATAAAGACTGAGAAGCAGAAAGATTAGGAGAAGGATAAACAAACATGAGACCTCAGGGGGAAATGGTTCCACTGTACTCTGGGCCTCCTCCTACCCTTACCCAGATCTTCTCCTTGTCTTTAACTCTCCCCAACCTGGGGCACACGAAGAGCACAGGGGAACCAAAGAGGAGCCTTCTGCTGCCACGCTTATTTCTTCCACAGACCCCCTCAGCCTAGACCCAGCGGAACCACCTGGCCAACCTGTGCCTCCAGCCTAGGCTCCCCATCCTCACCCCAGCCTCCTCCTCTGCCCTCGTCTGCCACGCTGGTGACCGGAGGGGCTCTGGGGCAGGGGGACCTTCTGCACTTGGTAGAACCCTGTACAAAGCAGACTCTCCCAGAATGCCCAGAACTTGCCTTGAAATCTTCCTTCTGGCCTGCCCTTGGGCAGCATTGCAACATTGTAGCAACTGGTCCAAAGGCTGACAAAGAAAACAGAATGGTAGGGAAAGCACTCTAGTTAACCAACAAAATAGATCTTTGTCCCTAAAGAGCCAAGCATCGGCAAGTCAGTACGTAAGCCTGGTTCTAAAACTTGTTTGTAGGGCCTTTAGACATGCCTGCCGCCCACAGACAGCGGGAGGGTATCTGTTGGGATCTTCGCCAACCTGACCGGGAGGGCCCCCCGTCTTAGTGCCAGAGAGCCCCTCTAATCACAAAGCATTTTCCTAAGGCCTATAGAGCCATGCCTACTGAATGTCCTATTCCCAAGAATCAATGAAGCCTACTGCTCCAAATTAGCGCATTTTGAAACGACCAAATAAAATGAACGAGGTGATGATACAGAGAAAAGAAAACATTTAAGGATAATGAGCACAGAGCACAGAGCTTCATTCTATACGGGAGGATAAAGGTCAGTAAATCTAGCACACACATAATAGTCTTTGAAAATCATCTCCTAATTAATCCTCCACCAGCCAAAATGTACCAGTTTAACCTTTTCATTCTGTGCTTCTCACAATATTTATGAACCGCTGCCTCTCAACAGGAATGGAAAATGTGCCCATTCTGGAAGCTTTGGAACTAACTGTGCTCCTAGATATGTCCCTGCAGGACAGGGCGGGAGGGTGCCTGGCACTGCCCTTCCTTGTGCTGGGACAATGCAGAGTCGGACTGTATAGTCAGAAACCAAAGTCTGGTCGTTTCAGGCTGCTGTCTGCATTTTCAGTGCCAGAGTTACCCATCCTTGGAAGCAAAGGGTTTTTTGGTTTTGTTTGGTTTGGCTTTGAAATAGCAGTAATGCAATTGTTCCCTTCTGAAACAGTGGAGCTCAATGAGAAATAGTTCTCTCTTGGGTCCTCCCCAATAGAGTGTGATTGGTGATTTATTATAAAACCTTGTTCAAAGGCAATTTAATCCAGTAGGTAATGGGGATGCTGATAATAAAGAACATTCAAGAAGGTTCTAGGACATAAATTCCAAAAAAAAATTTCCAAATACATAGTGTCTCAGGATCAGTACATTGACAACCAGCTTAGGGCTTTGATTTGGAGACACTGCAGGGAAGTGTGACACATGCATCACCTGCTGCATATGGTCATTTTGAACCTCTGCAATGCTGAACTAGCTCCACTGTGAACAAAAAGCACAGAAAATGAAGTAGTAGCCTGACCTTTTCCATCACCTTCTCAATAAGCCCAGGTCCATTTCAGCCAGCACACAGCCATCTACCGCAAGGGTCACTCTCTCTCATCACTGTCACGTGAAAAGTCAGAGAAAATGGAAAATCAGTGGAAAATCAGAACTGAGGTTGGAAGCATGGGTGAGAGGCAGGGGGTTAAGACAGCAGTCAGATTATAGGTACTCAGGTGTGTGCCTGAATAGATATAATACAGAACACTCAGCATATGTTTTCTATGTGCCACACTTTTAAGTACTTTATACTTATTAAGTCATTTAGCCTCCATGACAATCCTACAATGATCCTACAAGGTAGGTCCTAACGCTATACCAGTATTATCGATGAGGAAACTAAGGCACAGAGTGATTAAAGGACTTGCCTAAGGTGACACAGCCAGGAATAAGGGAGCCACTAGATTGTGAATTCCTCAAAGGCAGAGTTGATATTTTATCCAACTCCATATTCCAACAATACCTAATCCAGTGGTTCTCACCTGTGTAGCTTTTCGAGGGTTTGTTGAGAAGAATTCAGCTGAATTGGATAGTGTGAGGGAGGTAGAAGAGACTGCCTAGGGCTGCAGAGGGAAAGGGGGACTCTTTGCAGAGTGCTCTCTGAGCAAGGAGTGTGGTTCCCTGGCCTGGTCAATACTGAGGGTTTGGACACTTGTCAGACAGCCCTCCTTTGAGATGACAGCACATGGGGATGCACATAAGCCTCTGCCTTGCTTTATACTGCCCTTTCTTGAATGGTGGGTGCTGACTACAAATGTTAAGCCCTGTGTCCTATAGCTATGGATTTATTTAAATTTAATTCAACAAATATATATTCAGCATTTGAGCAAAGTGCTATTATTCCTACCCAGCCAGAGTTTTAAATTAAAAGGAGGAATAATGGACAGGCAATGACAGTATTGCTCCCACAGCAATTTGCTGTAACAGGGTCTAATACTCCAAACCATGACTGCAGCCTTGTGGACCATTGGTAGAGAAGCTCAGCCTGCTGCAGAACCGAAGAAGCGACTGAATTCTCACTCTTAGAAAACCTAATGTGGAAGGAGGTAGAGAGGCAAGGTTATCAGCAGTCCTTGGAGAACAAATCAGAACAACAGAACTGGAATTGGAGAACCAGTGTCTGGTTTGCAGGTTTTTCAGCCGCCTGTGGTCAGATCCTCAAAAAGCAGGGCCCTAAGAGAAAGAAGTAAGTATGTTAGGCATCTCTGGTATGACTACACCCTAGAACACAACAGGGGCCAGGTGTAGAGAAAAATCCCCACCAATTTGCCTTCAGTATGGGGTCAGGCCCACACACAGGATTAAATGAGATTCTATGGGATCCAGCAGGGTGCAGGCATACACTATAGACCAGAAGCACACAGGACTTCCCTAGACTGTGTGATGTGAAAACCTTAATTTGTTTGGAAGGCAAAGGATGTATGGTAGCAGTTCCAGTCCC